CTTGGGGAACAGCAACATAGCAAATGGTAATACAATGCTAAATGGTAACAGGCAAGGGGTGAGAAGAAACAATAGAAATAAAAGAGGCAAAAAAGAATTCCATATTGATACCAAGGAAGTCGAATGTGTGCGTGTGTGTGTGTGTGCGTGTGCGCGTGTGTGTGTGTGTGTATTTTAGTAAGGATCTACAAGATCCACAAGGTCTCACTATGTAGATCGGACCCATAGTGATCCGCCTGTGTTCAGCCTCCCAAGAGCTGGGATTACAGCTGTACGTCACCATACCCAGTCTCAGCCTGACCCGGGGGTGGGGTCAGCACGGCAGGAATGAAGAGTCTTAATATTAAGTGGGAAAAATAAAAAGTGGTCTCTGGACTGAAAATACTAAATCATTAGCTTCTTCATGGACAGCCATGTCATTGGACTAGGAGAATCAGACACAGATTCATTGGGGAAGTGAATGAGAGGGGGAAAAATAATAGTGATTCTCTTTCAATAAATCTTCCATAGTAATACAACATAAAGGCAAACAACTCAAAGCATGGAGACAGAGATAAATAAGGTCAAGGATATTTTAATTCTTCTTGGATTGGTGTTCTTCTCTCCCAGGGGGTAATACTTGATCATAGGTGCAAGCTAAGGAGACAGAGTCCAAAGACAGGGCAAGATCTAGGGTGCAAGACTGAAGGATCAGGCTGACTGAGCAGGTCTCCAAGATGCTGGAAGTCAGAGAACAGTGCGCAGGTTGCCTTTCCCCTGTGCACTGAGAAGGGGACTCAGGGTGCTTCGGACACTAGGTGGGCAGAGAATGGAAAGAAGGTCGCATAAGCTATTAGAGGTTACTCAGTAATGGTGGGAAGGCAGCTGAGGGACCAACACACGCATTGTTGTCTGCAGTGGGTAGGAAGTTCCTTTTCTGCTCAGAAGGAGGAGTCAGGAATGGCTGAGAATCCCCAGAAGTTGATAAGGTAAATGAAGCAGAGCTCATGAGTAAAAATTCCTGCCCCAAGTGAATCCTACTCCTCTGCCCTCAGACCTAGCTGCTGGCGTGAAGAACTGGAAGCTCAGACTGAATTAGGCAAGGGACAGGAAGAAGGAGCTGGTCACACCTCTTCTCAGTGAAGACTAAAATAAAGGTATAGGCTGAGATGATTGCACTAATAATTTCCATTAGTTTCTTGAAAATAGCAGTTAATGTTTAGAATTTTCACCTTGCATCTACATGGAGGACAGCAACATGTAAGACAAAACCCATGGTTGACTCCCTCTCATCTTGGTCTTCTAAACATGTACCATTTCTACTGTCTTGTCAATCATTACACTTTCTTTACAAAAATTTTTTTCTAAAAAGACAAAAAAATTAAGATTTCTTGAAAGTAAACATTAATGTTCAATTATTTGTGCAATCTTGCATTACTGTATCAGTTAATCTGACCAGATTTGATGATAAAGATAATGTAACCACCATTGTTAATTAGCTATTCCTGTTTTGAAAATCTGTAACATATGTATTGTTGTATGTTATCCTGTTTCTTTTTTTCTACTTGTTTTTGCTGTTTTTACTCTTCAAAATAAAACTGAATAAAAAAATAAAATAAAGGTATAGGGTAGAGTGCTGTGTCCACAGGTGACTTGGTTCTCACTCAGAATAGTGCCTGAGTGAAAAGTGATTTTATAAGAATGGAAATAGTTACCTGGAAGTGTGACAGGGCAAATTAAATGCAATACCAACCAGTATTATGGCCTTATCAAGAACTTCAAGTATATTAAATACCACTGAGGGATAAAAACAAACAAAAAATCCTCACTTTCTATGAAGTGCATCGTAAATTATTAAGACGTGTATAGTCTGAAATTTGTCTATAAGCCCAAGAGACTCTGCAAAGCCTTAGAGTGTAACATGGCTTCATAATTGCTGAACATGAAAAATAAAACCATATGACAGACCTTGTACTTGCCAAACCTTTTGCTTTTTTACCCTACCAGTGACACTAATTCTCCTCTGCTAAGTCTCAAATCTTTGAATTGACTACATTCTGAGTCTTGTACAACTGTTCCATGGATCTGGAATGAAACAGTCAGAGGACAGCAGAGATTCTAAGTCCTGTTTCAACTCCACTTAACCACAAAGGAGGAAACCCCAGTTTCTGTGGCCTTAGTCTAAGGTATACAGTATCAGAATCTAGTTTCTTAGGTGCTTTGTTTTAAGTTTTACTTTAGTGCTGCAGTGAGTTTGGTATAACTGACACAACACTACTATTCTTTTATCACAGACTTTGCACTAGTATACAAAGTGTAAGTAACTTATGATAACCCAAGGGAGCTCTATACTAAGCTGAAAACATAAGACATAAAAATACAGACATTTTTCTCTTGTATAAAAAGCTAGGACAGCAAATACCTAAAAAACAAAGATAAGTAAGATGGTTCTCTGAAAATTATGTCTTAGAAGAGCATTACTGTGTTAAAAACTGTTTTACTGTCTACAGCTGAATTCATAAGAAGGCATGCAAACTTAGTTTTCATAAAATAAGTGATAGTTGTAGATTTAGGAGGTACCTATCTTCTGTCTGTAGAACCTAACTTTCCAACTCTCCATTAACTCAGTGGCAAAGGTAAGACAGCTGCCAAAACAGAGAAGAGCAAGAGCAAGAGTCCTCATGGTGGGTTATAATGAAATGCTTGCTTTGACATATTGCTTCTGGACTTGCTGGGGTACAGGCAACAAATAAGGGCTTTCCAGTAGACATTTACTTCCTTAAAATGACAATATATGTTTAAAAATAATATACCCAAGGAGAAAGAAAACATGTTCATTTAAGCGATACAAATTGCAGTACTATGAGACTTAAAACAATAAAAAATTTTAAAATTTTTGGTTATGAGTATTCCTGGTTTTAAAATCAATTTGAGCAAAGAAAAAGCCATGCAATAATTAAGAAGACACTTCATGTATATTATGGACATTATTTATTTAAGATCGTATTTACTCGTTTGTGCACACTCCTGAAACAGTTGATGTCTAGACACATTGGAGGTGTAGAGTAATTCACCCTGTATCTTATAACCGTTACAGGGGGCTGCAGTCTGCCTTTAACTGGCCAAAAGGGGTATTTCAGTTAACTTCTTTTACCTCGAAGATCAAAACTATAGATTACTGAGAAATTGTCTGTTACTTGTTTCATTACTGAAAGAAAAATCAAACTGCAGTACAAATGAGCATACAAATCCAGGATTTTTCTTACTCTAGATTCTAGTTACAGTCTTCCAAACCTTTTGGATTACAACTACTTGTGAACATGATTTGTAGTATTATATTCCTTTGAACACATATACACACAAAGATTCATTTTAGCTTAAGACAAACACTATCAGTTCCTGTTTATATTCAACATCTTAACTCAAATGCATGCTGCCAGTATTTTTTTAGGTTAACATTAATAAGTACAATAAAACATTACAAATTTTGAATTTTACGACTATAGGGATTTGAATACATTAATATTGTATGAAAATGAGTGTTAATTAAACATGATCTTAACTATAAGAAGGCCTAACAGAATTTCTACCTCCCAGTTTGATTCCAATAGTTGTTTCTAACTGACTTGAAAATAGGACCCCCGTTTTTAAGACAATGAATGGCTTGCACTTTCGTATTCTTCAAACAAGCTTTGACATCAAGGGCCAGAACTAATAACATTTTATTGCAAATCTATATATGGTTCAACATGAAGGCTGATTATACAACAGGTATTTGAGAGCAGAAACATTTTTATATCTAGTGATATCAACAGCCCAAAGCTTACCAAAGGTTGGGGTTGGGGCAGGAAACACCTAATAGCAACTACTTAAATTGTAGAAATCCTGACTATTAACAGCTCCTAGCAGCCAGGAGGTTTAGGGAGGGGAAAGTGGTGAGCAGGGACTTGCTATCACTGACACAGCTCCAGCACATAAGCCTTTCGAATGTGGCACACCACCCAGGTATAGTTAGCAATCGGTTTAAAATGGAATTAATTTCGCATTCTGGATACATTTAACAACTGCTGTTAGTCCTCATATTTTAAAAATTGCACAAAGTTCACAAAAAGCTCTCCAGATATGAAGTGTTACAGGCACAAAAATTGCTGTTTTTTTCCGGCTTTTACGGAACACATATTTTTAAAAAGAGAAATGGATTCTGAAGGGATGGGGGGCGGGCGTGTTGGTGTCAAAAGACACTACTGGAAATCCCACTCTACTGTCTGTATGTTTTGACTGGTTGTACTGTCTTCATATTTCGGGCGAAATGTAGGTAACTCTTAAAGCGGTTTCCCTAAATAAAGTAGGAAACTTCAACCTACAAATTGGAATGTATGTAAGTGCCTGATGGAGTGCGGGTGGTCAGGAGAAAGAGTTTTCAGGAAGCTTATTTTTAGCCTTAAAAACAACAACAGCAGCAGTAGAACGCACCAGTAGAGGATTCCTCAGCTAACGCTGGGTCGAAAAGGAAACTTAACAGGGTCCTTCTGGGCCCCCGCTCCGGGCTCCTGTCGCAGGGCAGAACCCCTTCTGGCCACTTCCTCCGAATGCGCACTCGCATCGCCAGGCGCCCGGGCCTCCCACTCTCCCCTCCAACCCCACATGCGTGGCCGCACTGCCAGGAGAGGTGAGAAATTCGGGATCCGAGGCAGCGGCCGCCCTCGCCCCCTTCCTCTACGGTTCCCGTCCGCACCACTCGCGCGCTCTCCAGTCTTCCTCCGGGCTGCAAGTGGAGGGTGGACGCGGCGAAGGCGGGGAGCCCGCCGTCACCCGGGGGAGAGCCGAGAGAGGGTAGCGGACGAAGGAAGGGGGCGCTCGGCGACACGCAGGGCCTCCCGCGTCCGCGCCCCGGGCGCACGGGGCTCCCGCATCCCGCGCCGGCCACCCTCTCCGGGCGCCGCCGTCCGGGCTGGGGCGCAGCCCTCAGCCTGCGGGGGCGGCCGCGGCGAGGTACGCAGCCCGGGCCCCGAGCCACTCACCAAAGCACCAGGAGCCCAGCAGCAGCGTCGCCACCAGGGGCCACATCTCCGCGCCGGCAGACCGGGTGTCTGGAGAAACGGCCGCCTCCGCCGCCTGCACAGGCAGGACCAGCCGCACAGTCACAGGCAACACCGGGCACGCGCGCGCGCGGCCCCGCCGACCCCCGCCCGCCAGCCCGCGCTGCGCGCGCCCTCGCCCCACCCTCCGCCTCGCCGGTGACGCGGGACCCGGAGCTCCGCGCGCCCCGCCCAGGGCCCGCCCCGGCCCCGCCCGCCCCGCGGGCTTCCTGCTTTGCTTCGCTGCAGCGCGCCCCGCGCCCCGCGTCCCCTATTGTCTGCAGCTCTCTGCCCCGGGCGCCCGCCCTCCGCGGCGCCTCCCCGCCTCCTGCAGCGCCCGGCACTGCAGCCCCGCTCTCGCGCTCAGCGTCCAGCCGGCCTCGGAGCCCAGGCCTCCGCCTGCCACCCTCCTCCGGGCCCGAAGCCTCCCGGCCATCCCCCGCTCCCCTACCCCACACCCGCCACCGTGCCCAGCGCGCACCCCGAGGGGGGTCCCCGCGCTCCGCCCCGAGCCCGGGGACAGCGCAGAGCCCTGGCCACTGCCGCTCGCTGGCGCCCGGAGCTCCCGCTGCTTCCGGGGGCTCCTCTTCCTTTTCCTCCTCCTCCGCGCCTGGGTGCATTCGCCGGGCGAGTCCCAGGCCGGTGGGAAGCGTCTCTAAGGGCGAGTGTGGAGGCGCGGGGACCGAGGGCTTCGCGGGCCACACAGGAGACCGGGCCCGGCCGTCGGAGCCTGGTTTGTGACTATCGTGTGGACCTCTCAGCGCTGTTTGGGTTTATGGGCTCCGGATGTGACCCCACGCTACATATGGACAAGGCCTCTAAATATGTTGCTGAATCGCACAGGCTGCTTCATTCATCCCAAAGCAAAACCTCTTTTAAAGCTACCGTTGGCATTCATCCGGGTGATGCACTCTTGTCAGAGTGACACTTTGGATCAAGGGTACTGTCCGATCCCTTGGGGTTTGTTTTGCTTTGTTTTTGTTGTTGTTCTGTTGGAGCAGACAGCAGTTTCCCAGCGCGATATACCTTCTCCATGTCCGCTACCCTGAGCATCTTCTTCCAAGCGTTCGTTACCACAGGAATAAAATTCAGGAAGTAAAATCGCCCTTCTCTATGACAGTAAAGCAAGGTGTTACAACTTTCTTTTTGTGTGAGCCGTTTTCTGCCCAGTCTTAACACTTCCTTAAAATCAGAGGGCCGTTTAAATATCCCTTCTTCCAAGACCCTTAAACTGAGCAGACAGGAGTTAATAAATATGCTGATGTGACTTAAGTGAAGTTCGTGTTCTAAATGACTGAAAAGAAAAAAAGCCTAGCACACATCTCTGTAAAACAATGGTTCATAACTGGTGGTCAGCATTTGAAAGGCAGCCTTGACACCCTGAGGCCATCAAAGGAGCTGATCAATTCTCCAACTGCTGCTTACACGGATACAAAAGAATCATCCACCAGACTCTGAGCATTGGGGACACTGTGTATCTCAGAGCAGCTGGTTGGCTAAATAAGGCTGTCAGCTGTCCCTGGAACTGACCAACCCCCTAACGCTGAAGAGTGACTGGAAAGGACTCTCCCCAGCCTTCAGAGGTAGGGATCCAGGGATGCTCTGTAGTTCACTGAGTTTTACACTGAACTACAGAGACCCTCTGCTTCATGTCCCTTTGTGCAGAAAATGGAATAGGCTCAAGTCAGGCCAATAAGGGACCACCTGGGTGAGCACTCTTCTCCTGGGACTCTAGTTGGGACATGTTGGTGGAGTGAAGGGGTGATAAGAAGCAAAGAGGTGGCCTATCCCAGGAGCAGCAGTCCATGCCAAGCTGTGTAGTTTGAAACTATAAGAAGTTCCTTTCTCCTTACAAGTTGTCCTTATAATATTTTTTCAAGCAGTTTTATTTGAACCTTGAATTCATCTTTGTGTGCATTTCTTGGGTAGAATGTGAAAGGATATTGAATATTAGAATGTGTTGAACATAGGTAGTAAACAATGTACCACCTAAATGAACCTTCCTAAGAGCCCCTGGGAAGGGCAAGTGTCATGATCTCCGTTTTAGAGCTGAGGCAACAAAGGGAAAGAGGTGACATGAACCTTTTTCCCATGGTTAGATGTTGATACTGTGTTCTCTCCCCACCCCTGTTTTCTCTCTTTTTTTCTGTCCCTCTCCCTTGCCTTTGTAACTCTATTTCTTAAATTGACCTGACTCCAAAGCCAGTGAAATGCCCACAATCTGCTTTCTGAACTCAAGACCCATTCTCCTTCCCCACTTTCTGACCCAGCAGTGTCTATTTCATCTTCCCTGCAAAACTTAAGTCTATTTTCTACCTCATAGGGGTGACTGAACTACATCTTGACCTTATCTCACATGATAAGAGTTCCTTAGCATCATTGCATTCCTATATTTGACTTATCAGACAGCAGCTGGTTACAGTTTGTATTTTCTTTCTTCTTAGTTTTCTTAGTGTTTGATTTTTTTTTCTTCCCCCTGATGACGAGTATATTTTTAACACTGTGGCCATTGTGATCTATGCTAACTTCTGGTCCATGGCCAGGCACTTTACACAGCAATATGAATTACTCCACATCTGGAATATTCCACTTTCAGATGTCAAATTAACTCATAAAATGTATTTTGTCCTGAATATTAATCTCTGTATTAGAGATCTCTGGAGACATAGAACTCATCCCTCAATTTGTGAAAGATTGGTTCCAGGACTCTCATGAATACCAAAACTTGTGGCTAGTCAATAAATCCTATTGTGTACGTCAATTCATTGCTAGATTATAATACCTAATATAATTAATAATATAAAGATGTAGTGTTTAGAAAATAAAGGCAGAAAAAACTACCTGTTCAGTACTGGCAATTTTTTTTCTAAAAAAAATAACTTCATCATGCAGTTCATTGAATCTATGAATGTGGGAGCCAAAGGGCTTGTAGAATCATCTGTAAATAGGTAGATGGATACAAACATACAGATAGATACGTGAGAGGAATTTATTAGGGGAATTCGCCCATGTAGTTACAGAGGCTAAGTCCCAAGAGAGACCCTCTACTTCATAGATACCCAGAAAAACTGGGAGTATAGCTGTCCAAGTCTCAGAACCAGGGAAGCCAGTGCTGTAACTCTTAGTATAAAGGGTAAAGACCTGAGAACACAGGGGAAGCCTGGTGCCAGTTCCAGTGTGTAAAGGCCTGGAGATTGCAGTGCTGATAGCCAGGTATAGGAGAAGGGTTTCCAGTGCCAGCAAAGAAGGGGGGTAACTTCACCTTTCTTCTACCTTTTTGTTCTAGCTGGGTCTTCAGCTAGTAGTGTGATGCCCATTCAATCCAGAGACTCACATACCAGTCTCCTCTGGAAACAGCATCCTAGGCACACTTAGAAAGAATGCTTTACCTGTTTTTTAGATATCCTTTAATCCAGGGCCATCAGCAACTAATATTCATCAATTCCTAACACAGGGCCTGGTGAAGACAGTTTTTTGGTATCAATCATAAGAAATCACAGTGGAATATGGTATGGAGAGTCATTTCAGCCAGGTTGAGTTACTGATCAAGCCATTTACTCTGTTCACCTCTGATAAGTTACTTAACTTTCTGAGTCTTCATCTTATCTCTTGTAAAGAAACAATAACTAAAGTAATAGAAATGAACTCTTCACATTTCCCTAAAAATTTAAAAAGTTTACACTTTCGCAGTTACCTACAGGAGTGCCTGGTGTACAGTGCACTGGTCAGCTTTCCATTTTTGGGATAGAATATCTGCTACCTGTATCTTAAAGGAGAGGTTTATTTTAGCTCACAGTTTCAAGGATTTCATTTCGTGGTTAGCTGAGTCCAAGGCAGAAACATCATAGTAGAAGGACTTGGCGGATGAAAGCTGCTCCACTCATGGACACCAGGAAGTAGAGAATGGGAACAGCCAGAGGGGAAGGAGCCAGATACAGCCCCTAAAGGTAGGCCCCAAGATCCACCAAGAGACACCCAGAAGTGTGTTTTCCTAAGCTCCTAATGTCTTTCAAGCCAATCAAGTCAAACATCACATACAGAACATACAATACATACTAGCCCTAACATCTTATAGGGCACTATGAATTTCCTAGAAGGACAATAAAAATGGTTATCAAAAGAATCACCAGTTGCTAGGCAAGTGCTGGAAGGGACACCCTAAATTGAGGAAGTGCAACCAGTTTTGACTCCAGCTAGCTGTATGTGTCTGTGCCCTGGGAATACTTATTAATGCTTATCCATCTGCGTGCTTATTGATGAAGACACCAAGGGACTGCCCCTGTCCATGGTGCTTGGGGCAGAGCCCAGGGTCCTGAGGTGGAGTTTTAACCTCCACTAGATGTGTAAAAGTATCAATCCTTAAACAAAGCAGTAGAGTTACAAATGCCTGTGTTGTACAGACAAGGGTGGTCAAGCAGAGATGGACTTGGCCTCGGGTCACACAAATGAGGTTTCTAATTGTAAGTGATGATCTTCATCTCTGCCTGGACTTCACTTAGGGGTAAATACTATATTTAAGGCAGGAGGGTGGTAGGACTAAGATTTTTAGGCAAGGGATATTCTGTTACAGAGGTGGAAATCTGATTTCTTGTGACTCTTCCTCTGTATATCCAATAAGTAAGCTTTTACCTCAGCCAGGGAAATATACAATGCTCCCTGCTCCTCCCTTGCTGTTGCTGCTGGGGCTACTCATGTGGAACCCATATCCATGGCAGCTTGAAAGCACTAAGAAAAGCTATACAGAGGAGGTATAAATTTATAGCAGGTGCATTTTGTTGAGAGTGGTTGGCATTTAGGGTTTCAGGAAGGCCCCTGGTGTCTTGCCTAACTGTGTAGTTCAAGAGCAGGTAACATGCATGTGATGGGTGCATGCTATGCACCAAGACTCACAGTGCAAGTATAGTTATTTTCCACAGCTTCTGTAAGAAATTACCCTAAATTTAGTGCCTTTAAATAACATACATTTATTATCTCAGTTCCGTGGGTCAGAAACCCAGTAGGCCCAGCCCTGCTTGAGTCTCATAACCCTGGAATCAACGCATTGGCTGGGCTGTCTCTCTCCTAAAGGCTCAAGGAGAGAATCCATTTCCAGCTTCATCCAATGGTTGGCAGAGCTCAGT